GAGAGCCCAGTTCTTACCTTCTCACAAAGTTAAAACATATAAACAAAAGAAGTAACAATATATCACAATAAAAGCAATAACAGTACTCAATAAACAACAGTAATAACAACAACTCCATGACAACTAATCAAATTGGCACATAGGCACAGCAGCAGTATCTAATAAAACCATATTAAAACTACAGATTTAACTACTGAAATGCCTGGAGAATAAAAAGGTTTTCACCTGGCACTGAAAGGAAAAAAGAGCAGGTGTTCGCATAACCATGTAATACTGCCTAATAAATAAATTGTTTACATATTATTTAGAGGAAAGGACACAATACAACAGTGGAACACAGATAAGGGTAAGCACATTAAAATCCTGACATCTCCAGTTAAGATCTCAGGCCTGCAAAACATTTTCTCTGAGATCTCCAGCCCTTTTTAAACATGTATTTGCCAGCCATAGTATGAGAGCGCAAGTATAATTTTGGAAGGCCCACTACAAACTTGCTATATGCACATAACATACATACTGCTTCCGACCTCATACACATTTTCTAATCATTTGCATTTATAATCAGGTATGGCAGTGGTGTGTGTGGGGTGGGGGGAGAGAATGCAGACTAGATAGTTACATAGTTGTTGACACTATACATTCTATCAGTGGCCCGGCTTCCACTGTCCCTGGGTCAAAGGTCTGTGACCATTATGATGCTTTGTTCTTTCTACCAGCTCTCCTGCCAAAACAGCACAAGAAACTCCGCAAATTCAGAGCTCATACCATGTAGGATTAGGGCCGTCTTAATAGCATTATGGGCCCTGGGCAAAGCAGTGTACGGGGGCCCCTACGACAACTACAACTACTGTTAATTTCGGAAGTTTTCCAATTTTGCAAGGGTTAACATACACAGATCAGTATGAGGCCCATGGGCAAGTGCCCATCAGGCCCATGTGTTAAGACTGCCCTGTGTAGGAGCACACAAATTTGTTCCTCAGCCAACATGTTCCAGTTTTAGCTGTGCAACTGCACTCTCTCTGTGCTAGAAATGGGCTTATTTCAGCAACTGCTGTCAAAAAGGTACCTTGTTTTGCTTCTTTCGTTTGCTCCAGCACTCCAGCAGGATTTGGGCAGCAGGTTCTATCTGAAAGTCTACCTGCTCTTTAGGCTGTGATTTGCTGATTTGTCAGGAAGTAAGCCCCACTGGACTTGTTGGGAATTACTGCTGAGTAAACATGCCTAAGATTACACTTCTGGCATATATTTTTGCATATTTAGAATATAATTTTCTGTTTTGACAGAGTATTTGGCTTTTGTTGAAGGGGTTGGAGAATTTCATCATCCTGCACATTGCTATTCACAGTGCAATCCTCATTTGCCTCTCAATAAAGTAAATGTTTTGTGCCTCTACAGAAATTGGGTATGTGCTAAAGAAATAACTCAAGGAGAACTGGTAAGAGACATTCTCTTCATGGGTGCACTCAACTAAATTGACTCCAAGACTCCCAATATCCACTGTTAAGTCTAAATGTTTCTCACACACAAACTTGTCAGAATATATTACTGGACTGAAAAAACAGTCCTGGGCTCTAGTCCTCCTACCTTCAATTCCTTGGAAGCACTCTCAGTTGAACACAGTGGAGATGCATTCATAGGGCAGTAACCAAAGGGGTGCTGTGCCCCTGCTGCTGCCATTCAGCATGTGAGACCCACCACTAGTACAATGGGGATTTAGTGCTTCCAGGAGGGACCAGAAAGAAGTAGAATGGCACAGATCAGCGGAGCTCACATAGGGAAACTCTGCCAACTCTCTTGGTCCAGAAATAAATGTTTCCACTAATTTCAGGGCTTCCTATAGGAAGCATTAAATCTCTGTTGTGCAAGTGGTGGGTTCTGATTATGGAGTGGAATCAGTAGAATAGGCTGCTTCATTCATTACTGCCTGTAAGATTGTTCCCTAATAACTACAAACATTTCTTCTACTGGTTTAAGGTTCAATAAGCAAATTTAATAAAGAAATAAGGAATTACTTTTATTTTTTTAAAAATCCCTAGAGAAGATACCTTTGGAATGGACAACCAAACCATGTTGTAGCCCCAGTCACTAATTCAACATACACTCTGGTGATTCAACATATATATACTGCCCAGAGATCCCTGAAGGTCTATGGGAGTGGTATATAAATGCAAAAATAAATAAGTAAATAAATATTCTCTCTAGCTTTGTTATCTATTTAGGCTGGAGTCCTGTGCACAATGACTTGGCAGTAAACCCTACTATATGCAATATGACTTACATCCAGTATCATAGGAGTGGGCTGGATATCTACAATTAAGCATAATTCAACATTTGAAGGCATTCATTGCCCTTTTGCTCTTGGTATCTGAACAAAACATAGCAACTTGTAATAGGTTTTCATCAATTGGTACAAACTTACTGTTAAATGTTGTGTATGCGTCTGTTCACTGAAAACTTGAGAATCTGGTTTTTGTTGTTATTGTTGTTACTATTATTATTAATACTAATATCATTTCTATACTGCCCCACAGCCAAAGTTCTCTGGCTGGTTTACCACAGTCCATAAACCAAAAGGTTTATTTTCAAATGATGGATTTGGAGTGATCTAACAAAGTTGAGTGAATTTATTGACTGGAATCAGATCAGAGAAATGGATGTACACTTTTATCAATTTGATTTTACCTAACCAACAGTTTTCCTTTCATGTTCATGCTCAGGTTTAAATTACTTGGTGAAATGGATGAAATGATGGACTAAAGTTCCTTTTTCGTAATCTGTGAAGATTTCTAATGTCAAAGGGCATTAGGTCAAATCTTGGCTATGTAATCTGCCTATCTTTCAGAGGGCCCAAAGCAGCTCACAGTCAAATTAAAAGAAATACAGGCGGAACAATAAAATAGAACAGAGAGCAAAAATGAAAGCCAGATGTTAAAACATGCCATGTCAAAACATATAACAGGAAGCATGCAGGAACACCATGAAACTAGAGGGTATTTACGGAATGCCAGAATATCAGTTGGACAACCAAAGGCAACAAGTTTAACAATGTTAGAGTTGCTGCTCCACATCTGACATCTTGACCAACTGAATCTGTGATAAAAACAAGATACGAAACAGGGCTTTGTTTGAAGATTTCAGTGAGTGGGCAACCTTATACCGGACACAGGGGTCCTTAAAGTTCCTGGAGACCAAATGGTTAGGGCTTTATAGTAATAACCAGCATTTTAGTGTGCATAGGTTTGTTTTATATGGTTTTGAAATCAGAAAAACAAGTAAACTGCACCAGATTGCCTTAATACTTACTGGGCTTTAAGTGCATTAAAGATATTCTTAGCTGTAATTCAAACATTTTTACAAATTTGATGGCAATGTTTCAGTTACTGAAATGTTGCCAGTTTTCAGGCAACTTGTTTGTTTGTTTTTGTTTTCAGGCAACTTCTTTTCACAAGTTGCTATTTCAATCTTCCTGGTTCTTTAAATACCCTAGTACTTTCAGACAGGAAAAAAAGCAAAATATGATAGCTGCTTTTGATTTATATATAAATTTGACAGCAATGATAACTATTAGCAATACTGCTAATTCTGGAGAGAATGGCATACAATATGGGGCGAATGGGGCGGCATAAAAATGTTTTAATAAATGAAAATAAATAAAAAATATGGTAAATGTCAAGAAACTGGTGAATTTGTGGCCATTAACTCGTACAGCTTAACAGTTAAGAAGTTTCATTGGGAACTGTCAGAAAATGTAAACTAACTGCCCTCAAATAAATTTCCTAATATCCTCATTTCCACAGGGCAGTGTTTCTGAACCCTGGATCATTTTGGTTGCCCTCCTCTGGACCCTTTCTAATTTTTTCTGCATCTTCCTTAAACCTTGGGGCTCAGAACTAGACACAGTATTCCAGATGAAGTCTGACTAGTGAGGAGTACTGGGGAACTACTGCTACTTGTGATTTGGAAGTAATACTTGTATTAATGAATCCCAAAATAGCATTTGCCCTGTTTGCAGCTGCATCGCTGCAAACATTAGTCTTTCTATCAGAATCAATTTATCCACAAGTTATAGCCACCATTATCAGCAATCTAGGAATAAAATACACATCAGTGTGTTTTGTAATTGCACACTGCACATCACTGTCCTCAAGCTGAGTTCACACTCTACATAAATCCACATTTCAGTTCATGGCTGGTAAAGTTACTATCAAGAAATGGGTTACCAGAGCTTCACCTGTGGAAGCTGTTCTGTAAAGGGACATTGGTGTCTGTATAGCTAATGGTCTTCCTGCCAACTGGGAAGCCAGTCTTTGATTCCAGGACAGGATCTAGGCAGTAAGGAAGTAACTTTGGGCACGAGATGCTAGGAGGGTGCAGTGAAGCAATGGAGGAGACAGCTTTGCGCAGCTAGCATGTGCGGCACCACCTGGGATCGCTTATTGCCTGCAGTGGAAGATACTGGCGGGAACATGGAGATTCTGTCCCCTTCCCAGAACTGCAGTAAGTTTCAGCTGCCAATTTAGTGGGCTTTTATACATGGGATGCAGGAGAACACAGCCTATTCTTTTCTGTCTTAGGCCAGCCCTGCTCTCCAACATTAACGCTCCTCCAGTATTGTACAAGCACGAAGGTATTAATTTTGTCTTCAGTTGCAGGCACTCTCATCTAATCTAAAAGGCTATGTTATATAACTTATCAAGCTTCTTATGTGCAAGTGAGAAGGCTTCACAGCGATCCTTGCCAAAGAACCCTCTAAATAGCTATCTTGGCCTGCTATGTTAGACTCAGAGGGTCGCAGCATACTGACATGCTCATCCCTATAAAATGGAACAGCCCTTCTTGTTTGACTTCTCTGTGTTTACTAATGACCTCCACTCCAATCTCATTATCATTATATAGCAATATCAGCTTGCTCCCTGAAACTCAGCCTTCAGCCTTAAGGCAATCTATAATCTTGCCCTCGACAAGAAGCTCCCTCATATTAAAAAGAGAGGCAGAGTTACCTTTTCTTCCTGGCTGTTTTGGTTGCTTCTTGATTTTTATAGCTTTGGCAAACCAGATGGGTGGAGCAGAGAGGTAGAGAGACAAGGACTAAAGAGGACGAAGAAGCGGTACCCCCATTGCCTGCTGTGTGTATCAGAGTCGCTTGTGGATGGAAAGAAAGCCAGAGGATAAAAATAGGTGTTGACTCAATATTATTTGACTTGGCTCTGTGAGAGACTGTATTGATGTCACATAACAGGCACACATTGGGACTTGGTGACTGACTGACTGACTGACTGGTATCTCTGCTTCTCTTCTACTTATTTATTTGTTGTAATTATCTTCCACCTTTCTTCCAAAGATTCCATGGTGACATACCTGACCACCTTTTTTGCATTTATTCCTCACAACAGCTTTGTGAGTAGACAAGGCTGGGAGTCAGTGATGGAGTGAGCGTCATGGCACAAGTCCTACAGTGAGCCTCATGGCACAATGGGGACTAGGCCTGCTGTCTCCCTCCGCTTAGCCCAACAGTCCAAGCACCACACAATCTCTGCCCTCAGAAAATATGGAAAAGATGACAGAGGTGGCAGTTGAATCACATATCTAAACATATATAGACTGATTCATACTGCATGCACTGACATGTAGGTATAAAAATAAACTTTGGGGTTCCCATTTGAAGAGCCTCTGTCAGAACATAGACCGGGAAATGGACTGTAATAAAAGATGCAGGTTAGCCATGTGCCTGTTGTCCTGGCTATAAGATGGGCAGATGCAAAGGAGGACAGAGCTTTAATAGGTGCCAGAAGGCCGTTAAACATTTAAAGAGGCAGGAATCCTGTCCTCTTTTGCATCAGCCTATCTCGGCATGGTGGGAAAAAGCTCTGCCACACTTCCACATCCACCCAGAGCATATTTGCTCTGGTTTGGCTGAGAGTTAAGAAGTTTGAACCCTTGTGTAGCATCAGTTGATTGGGTATTAATTGCACTGTAAACAGTTAAATCTGGCAAAGATGAGAGAGGAGCCAACTGAATCACACATCTAAATAAATATTGCCTGTTTCATACGGAGTTGGTATTTATCTTGCATTTCTTCCTTGTTTATTTTCTATACTGCCCGATAGCCAAAGCTCTCCTCCTTATTGTATTCAGGTACACTGAATTAACTATGCACTGATTGTTTAACTCAATATAGTCTCCCTTCCCTTCTCCTCACATAGACTAGGAGAACTTGCTGCTTCTATGCTGATTGAACTGCAATTACTGCTGTGGTTTTGTTGTTTTATGTTAATTTTTGTTTGCCTGTGTGTTTTTTAAACCTTTGGCATTGCCCAGGGAGCCTTGGCTATTGGGTGGTATCACAACGAAATAAATAAACTGCTGCTTCAGGCCTGCATTAAGATACCTGCCAAGAAGCTGTATTTAACCTCAGTTACCAACTTGGTTTGACATGTGCCCTATTTTACAGAGAGCCTGTCCTCTGCTTGAGGCTGTCCTCTACTGGAAGAGCTGTCCAGTCTAAGGTCTATGTAGAGATAAGGAACTCCTGGAAGTGAAAGCAGGGGTCTTCAATCCACTAACAGTTAGTCTCTGAACAGAAGACTAAGCACTGTGGCAAGTGTTCAAACATTTCTGACTGTTCTATACCTTTGTAATTTTTGGAGTATTTTAAGGGCAGTGTCACAAAATGTGTTTTTGTTTTTGTCAATATATTTTCTTATTTTTGGCCAGATCTTGTATGGAGCTTGAATGCAACAAAGATTCCTCCCTCTTTCCTGCTTACCTTATTGAATTTTGCAGTAACCATGTGATGGACTGGGGTGATTTTTAAAAAGAAATCTCTCATTTGGAGATCTGTTCATAATTAAAGATCTCTTCATAATTGGAAGATTAAGTTTTAAACATCAGCTCTGAGCAGAAACAAAAAGGTGGAAAACTTATTTTAGCTTGTATAATTAGCTATGTAGACAAGAAACTTAATTTTATCCCTAGGTTCCCCAGGGAGCAAATCAGTAGTTCTTTGAGAATAAGGAGCCAAATGAATCTATTAATGTCAGTTTATATGCCATCTGGTTAAACTTAGTAATGCTACTGGAAAAAACAACACTAGTCTTTCACACTTACATTCTGAAATATTTTGAATGGGGAGTCTGTAAGCCTCCAAAATCAAATGATTACGGGCATCCTGCGGAGGATTCTCCAAGGTTTTAGAGGCCACCAAGGTCTGCCCAACAGAAAAATTAATCTCAAATTAGTGCCATTTAATATAGAATCCACATATTTTCTTTAAAAGGATAAACAATTCTAATAATATAAAATTGAGTGCTCTCTCTTTCTTTCTTTCTATTCTTTTACAATCAGTTGATTTTCACTAGAATAATTTTTCAGAATATTGAAGCTGAAATCCAATGCTTTATCAAAAACTATCCCTCTGCCTAGGTTTGTTATCTTACAGACTGTTAGTTAGCACTCCTGAACATGAGCGGGGTATGTCTTTTTCTCCCACTGTGAATGTGGAGCATTGCAGAAAACTGCACAATGAAATAAGATAATAGCCAGGTAGGCCATTTCATGTCTATATACTTGTAACATTTTTATTATATCAGGAGTTCTGAAGTTAGTAATACAAATATTTAGCTAATCTACCAGGCTCATGATGGAAACTATAAATGAACATTGCTGGGAAGTGGTATTCTCTTGTGCAGACTCACGGGTTTTAATCTTTTTTCCATAGAACAGCAGGACAACGCAAATACTTTTGTAACTTCCTTCAGTTTGGGATGCTGCTTGCCAAGCAGCAGATAACCAAAGGCCCTTTTTCACTGGTGGTCCTAGTTGCATCGTTCTTTGCTTTCTTAACTATTAGCTTTTGGAGAGCACCTCACTGTGTTTAAACCAGGCCTGCATCACTTGAATCCAGGCTTCTGACTTACCAGGTGATTGACAACCCATCCCACTTTTGCAGATGGACAGGCAGCAAATCCAGGAAGTTTACTGATCCCATGATGGGTAGACCCCCAGCCATGTATGGATACATTTCCGCTGGTGGGTCACAAGCAGTTCAGCATTATATCTTATTGAATAAAATAACAGATAGTATCTTAGCATTAAACATGAATTTATGGAACAATATTTTTAATTTGCAGAGCTGAGTTTCCTTATTTATTTAAAATTAAAGGAAAGTATTTAAAATTAAATAAGTACAAGGCAGCACAAAGATAAAAATCACGCTAAGTGACTACAATAAGATGTAGTAATAACATTTTCAGTACACGTTCATGAAAACAGTTACTAATAGAAGCAAAGCTCCCTCCCCAATGAAAACCCACCCTAAAACAAAAACCCAGCAGCCCAGGCATTGAGGAAAGGCTGAAATCCCGGAAGCAAGCTGATTCCAGGGGTGTGCAGACAACACTGAAAAGGCCCCCTCCTTTGTATTCAGCACTCCACCCACCCCTGGTGGCAGCCAAGTGTGAAGGGCTTCTTTTGACAACCTCAGAGTACAAATAGGCTGGTATGAGAGCAAGCAGCCCACGTAGTTTGGGCCCAACCCATTTAAGGCTATAAAGGTTATTTTTTGTTGTAAAAGGGCAGGAAAAGCAGAATTTAGTTTGCCCTGTACTGATAGATTTCTTCTAACAGTACTTCCCTTAAAACAAAAACTTCACTGGTTCAGCCTTTTAAAAAATCCTCTTAATTTACCACAATGGGATGGGAGATCAATATGCTAGCTGGGGGGCTGCCATATATGTTTGGCCTTTCCAGTTGGTGGCTGCCTTTTGGATCTGACAGATCCAAGACTTCCCTGGACATGGCTCTGAAATGCTGATGTTGGTCCCAGTGCCCACGGAACACAACAGGAAGTACAGTGGCAATGACAAAGCCTTCAGCTCTAGCCATGGGAAGACCTCCCTTTCCACCCAGAGATTTCCTTCTGCACGTCTGCAGCATGCAACAGCCAGTTCTTCAGCAGGGAGCTTAGAGTTACTCCCTCAGTGATTTGCATTAGATCGGAGTGGGCTTCTGTGATTGGACAGCCCATCATGGCTTATTTAAGCCGTGGTGCGCTGTGCGACATGCCAACAGCCATGACCATGGCTTACCATGTTGTCCAAAACTGGGGACTGTGTACAGCCCCCATGGAATCCATGGTCACCAGATTCAGATGGCATGGCAAGCCATAGCTGGACTATGCCACAGCCAACTATGCCTTTAAAAAGCCATCAGGAGCTGCAGTGATTGTGCAGATCTGCTCTAAAGCAACAATAACAATTTCTCTCTAAGTTGGACTGCTGAAATTAAGAAAACTTGTGGGGGACGCTGGGCTTGGATTTTTAGGTAAAAGGACTGTGGGCTCATGGTACTGAAAACAAGTTATTGAGCTACTCAGCATGCGGCTGAAGGCACCCTGTTCCTTAATTCTAATTGTGTACTGCATCTCTGTTTCCACTCTAAGTCATTCTGTTGCATCAGGATTTGGTTAGTGGACCTTGGGAGTTTAGCACCAAAAAAGTAGATCCTGCAAGCCTTTCAAGCCCCATAGTGGGGAATGAAAATTGGGTTAAAAATTTTATAATAAATAATTTGAAAAATTGGCATGTTGCCCGAACATTTTAGTTACATTCATATCATGTGAGTTATCCATGCCAGGCCATCAATCTTTATTGGATTAGTGGTTAGCAAAAAATACTTACTAGGATATGCCTAATATGATAACCAGGAGTAATTGGGTATATAATCCTTGCAGATCCTCCTATCCCCATCCCAAATTCCTTCCTCTTAAATAAATCAGTACATACATGACTGATGAATGGCAGTACGGCTAAGGTCCTCTGCAGGAAGGCATTGGCCACAATCCATAGGCATAACTAAGCCCATTAAAAGTACTTAATTCAAATATGCCAAAGAGCACAATCTTATGCATGCCTACCCAGAAGCAAATCCTGTTACTTTATCTGACATACTTAACTTTCTTCTGTTGGTAGGATGGGATATTCTTGAAGATACAGGATAATTCTCAGACATTTTGAGAGTTGGATGGTTGTATCTTGATTTTTCAAATCCAATTCTTGAATTGATTGAAATACAACATATCTTCTGCTAAAGTTCTCTTTGGAAGATACAGGATCACCTCAGGCATTTTGAGAGTTAGTAGATGGACAC